ATCTGCCCCTCCTTCCCTTCCTCCGCCTCCTATCTGTTCATCCAGAAAGATGGAGTATCTGCTGACAACTTACTAACTGACAGCTGACAACTTACTAAATTACTAGTGAATTCTACATTGCGCAGGTGGTAATCCAGCAGGTCTGTTCTATGGTAATGATACTGAAGCACAGTACCATCATTTCAAATGAGAGCTGTACTTAAATAAAATGTGGCTGAGAGCGACTTGTGTCACCATGACATAATCCAGTCCATTAAATGGATTAAATCTCTCAAATAAAAAAAAATCCAACCTTCTGGAAATTTTAAAGTTTACTGTCATCATGGCAAAGATAAAATAAAACTGTTTTGTAGAAGTTATTAAATTATTATGATTAGAAATATATTGAAAAATCTTCTCTCTGTTAAACAGAAAACGGGAAAAAAATAAGTAGGGGGCTATTAATTCAGGGGGGCTAATAATATACAGTTGAAGTCAGAATTAGTAGCCCTCCTGAAATATTAGCCCCCCCTGTTTATTTTTTCTCCCAATTTCTGTTTAACAGAGGAATTTTTTTTTCAACATGTTTCTAAACATAATAGTTTTAATAACTCCTTTCTAAAACAGCTTTATTTTATCTTTGACATGATGACAGTAAATAATATTTTACTAGATATTTTCACTTCTACACAGCTTAAAGCAGTGGTCACCAAACTTGTTCCTGGAGGGCCAGTGTCCTGCAGATTTTAGCTCCAACCCTAATCAAACACACCTGAACAAGCTAATCAAGCTCTTACTAGGTATATTGAAACATCCAGGCAGGTGTGTTGAAGCAAGTTGGAGCTAAACCCTGCAGGGACACCGGCCCTCCAGGACCGAGATTGGTGACCCCTGGCTTAAAGTGACATTTAAAGGCTTAACTAGGTTAATTTGGTTAACTATGCAGGTTAGTGTAATTATGCAAGTTATTGTATAATGATGGTTTGTTTTGTAGACATTTTTTTTTAATTTTAGCTTAAAGGGGCTAATAATTTTATCCTTAAATTGGTGTTTACAAAATGTATAACTGCTTTTAATCTTTTTGAAAAAACAAATAAGACTTTCTCCAGAAGAAAAAATATTATCAGACATACTGTGAAAATTTCCTTGCTCTGTTAAACATCATTTGGGAAATATTAAAAAAAGAAAAGAAAAAAAATCAAAGGGGGGCTAATAATTCTGACTTCAACTGTATATAGTTTGTTGAAGTCAGAATTATTAGCTCCCCTGAATTATTAGCCCCCTTATTAATTATATATAGAGACACACACACACACACACACACACACGCACACACACACACACACACACACACACACACACACACACAGTTGAAGGCAGAATTATTAGCCCCCTTTTTTCTTTTTCATTTTTTATTTATTATTATTATTATTTTTTTACTGTTTCTTAAATGATATTTAACGGAGCAAGGAAATTTTCACAATATGTCTGATAATATTTATATGGAACTATATGGATATACTGTGTGTGTGTGTGTGTGTGTGTAGCATATGTTGATTTTTGTTTTGCTAGATACTGTAGGCCATGGAAATTTGGCTTTTTATAGTCAGCAAATTTGACATTTCTTTTAGTTTTTTTTTTTTGCATTCAATGTTAAAAGTGCAGAATAAATAAGTAGTTCTTTTGAATGGAAATGTATTTTGCACAATGGTATAGTGTAGTGTCAACACATGCATGCATACTTGTTGTATACAGTACATACCTAATTCTTCATAAAATTCTAATGAACAAACGTTAGACCTGAGAGCTTTTCTCAGGACCTGGAACTTTTTGTGTATGCCCTTTACACAAAGCCTGAAAATACAATTATTTTTATTTAAAACAGTTCTTCTATATAACAGATTTTATATTAAACAGAGAATACTTTTAATAGTATACCAGATTTTTCAATGCGTAACTATAGGTGTTTACACATTTATAACAATGATGGATTGAGTGGGATGCAGATCTTGTTTTTGTTGTTAGTATTAGTCTGTGTAATTATATCTGTATGTTTATAAATAAATAAATAATAACCTGACAGCTTACAGCTTGATATGTCAAATATAACAACATTTAAATTGAAGGAGGTGGGCCACCTCAAGTTGATAGGACAAAATGCTAAATGTCTAGTTGAGCTACTGCTGAGTGACAATTTGGAGACCGCTGTAATAAAGTGTTAAATCATAGTTCAAATCAACTAAGTTAAATCGTAGTTCACTTTTAGTCATCAGCATATATCTTTATCTGTGTGCATCACAGCTTTAAAAGGGTGCCCTGAATCAGAAAGAAAATGAAGAGCACACAGCTGAATCTCAAGCCAGCTCTAAAAAATAAAATCTTACAAGTATCTTTCACATATATTCGGAATACTTTTTTTGTGAATTTGTTTTTTGAGATGTAGAACACGAGGAAAGTGTCCGCATAGAGAGACATTGCATGCACTGCTGAAGATTGTGGGTGTTTACTGCAGTTTGACTGATAAATATGAATTTGTAGCTAAATTGTAATCCGTGACAAAACAGCATTTACCGCTGTTTAAATCCTTTTTTATGTCTTTGCTACAACATACCGTTAACGCTAGAAACTGTGCATGTACAATAATTGATTGATTTTCACAAATAAAAATACTAGTAGGTTGTAGCTCACAATCCACAGCTTCATTGGTTGGAGGAAATTTAACTCAACTGGTAGAGATTCTGGAAGCTGTCCTTTGTCAAATGCAAGCTGTATATTTTTATAATTCTCTGGACCATAATTAAAATTAAATTGTAAGCTCTTCTCTCTTTGTGTCATCTCCTTGGGAAGCCCAAATACAGAAACGGATCATAAAAATCACAACAGTCAGATTTAGTTTGCATAAATTTGCTTATTTCTATTAGCTTTTTTTTTTTTAAAGCACAAATTGTATCATTTTTTAAGGATTTGTTTTTGCTTGTATTTTTGACAGAACAGTAGGTTGACAGGAAGTGAAGTGTGAGAGAGAAGAGTAGGATCTGGAAAGGTCCACGAGCCTGGATTCGAACTCGGGACTGCCAGAGCGCTGCCGCACCATATGTCGGCATACTAACCACTGGGCAACTTCTGATACTCCTGCAACAACAAACACAAACATATCTGCAGGTGTGATAAAGTCTGGTCAATTTAAAGGGGTTAATTAAAAACCCTCACAAAGTGTTGTTTTGCATAATAGGTCCCCTTTAAAACATTTTTTTTTTTGCAAAATAGGTCCGCTTTAAATTGGGGTTGAAACACAGTTGTGTGGCAAGTGTGAATATAGCCAGCCTCTAATGGTAACAATTAATTAGTTATATATTTTTTTAATCGCAGGTCATAAAAGCAGTATCCAGAAACATTTGTACATGTAATCGTAGTGGGAAAATCCCACCCATTAGCAACAATCTCTCCCTCATTAGCATAAACAGCCCTGAGTGAGAAGCAGCCATCCCACATTAGAGATTTTACACCATACCTGCTGAAGATATGTCAGTGACTAAGAGGCATTATAAATGTCTCGGGATGTACAAATGAAGTCTCCATAGACTACCTCTATCTGAGACAGTTCTTTTTAAAGGTGTCATGGTGGTGCAGTGGGTAGCACGATTGCCTCTTTTGAAAAGAGGGCTGGGAGCACAATCCTATTTAAATGGAAAGTCCTCAAAACACCACAATTTGGATCAAAGCCTATAATGGGCATTTTTAACGAGTTAGTTATTTATTAGTTTAAATTATTTGTGGGATATTTTGAGTTGAAACACTTCACATAAACACTCTAGGGACATCAGAGACTTTCGATTTTGCTCGCTTTTTAAACTCCTGATTCACTATTTTTTAATGCACAGACACAGTGTGCACACAGAAAGCTGACCTGGCGGTTGACGGTGCGTCATGCGCATATTAAACTAAGCTCTCTTGTGCATCACCTGTCAAATACACTCAAGGTTATATCAAGAACACATAATCTTGGTTATGTCTGAGAATGTGAACCATTGGTAGAGAAATTGCACATTAAATGAGATCTGTGAAAAAGCGTCTCTTGGAAAAATGCCAGCCAAGTCATTTTGCGTGTTTTGTGTTACGTGTCTTTCTCAAGTGTACAATGATGATTAATAAATATAAGAGTGGCTGCAGCCATTTGTAACTTGAACGTGTGAAGGCTTCACCTAAGTGTCATTCACTCCCAGTACAAATGCTATTATAATTTGCTGCACTTATTCTTAATTACAAATAGTGGCATAAAAAATTGAGCCTCGCACGTTCGAAGAAAATAGCTTGCTTAGAGCAAAACTGAGTGAACAGGACTTCAGATGCAGCCAATATTTGTTTGTTGCGGACTGTCAAATTGCTGGAGTATGAGAAGGTTCCCCGTGTTCCCATTAGCCTGCTTATTTGAGGCTGAACTTTATTACCTGCCATTTGACATTTGTGTGGGGCCTGCAAGATAATATGTTACCAACAAAGCACTTTTCGGGGGGTTGTTATTATTTATTTGTTTGCAGCAGCCATGTTGAGGCTTGTTATTCTGCGATCTGCTACCAAAGCTGTCTAGTCGTCACCTGAGCGACTGCCAAACGTCTCGGCTGACATCCTCCATCCCACCAAGAATGAGTGTGTGTGTGTGTGTGCGTGTGCGCGTGTGTGTGTGTGTGTGTGTGTGTGTGTGTGTATGTGTGTCAAAATCTGTGGGGAGAGAAAAGGTTAGACTGCAGCAGAGTATTTTATTTCCCTTTACATAAATGATATACCGTGAACACACACAAACATCAGCCCGATCCCAACTGAGTTATAGTCCAATTTATTAGTCTACAGGGAAATCTCTCGCAGTCACTAGTGTCTGTGGTGACATATATATGTCTGCAAGGTAAAGCTACAGAATTACATGTTTTGAAATATGTGTTTTTCTTTGCATATATTAGTCTATCGTGGAGCTATGGGATATATTTTGAAGTCTGAAAGTAGTTATTCTCTTTGTTTTCCTGTAGGTAACCTGGGTCGTGTTGACTACATCAGCGAATTTGAGTTTGATCTGTTCATCAGGCCTGACACGTGTAACCCGCGCTTCAGAGTGTGGTTCAACTTCACGGTGGAAAACGTTCGGGAGACTCAGGTAAGCACTTGGACGTAAATATTTCCAGATTTTAAAATAAAACCTTGCAGAGCACCATGTGTAGTTAAATTTGGCTTTTGAATAGAAGTTAACTACCTTTTTAATTAGACTTTATTCTATACTATAATAATTCAAAACTGTAGAAGAGTTTTTGTTTTTATTTATTGTAGTAGCACCATTATTGTGCTGTGATGGCATTAAAATGATAATGGAACTAAATAGGTTTTCCATTGTGTAAGAAGATACCCTACACCAGGGGTGCCCAAACTTTCGTACAAAGGGACAAAAATCCAAATATCATTAAGAGCCGTGGGCCGAAGGTAAATATACGAAACTATTACTGCTCAAAAACATAAAGGGAACACTTAAACAACACTATGTAATGAATCAAACGGATTAAAACCGAAAACCACCCAGCTATACAGAGTCCAGACAGCCTATAACAAGCTGTCTGAATAAACACACACACACACATAAGCACCAAGCAAATGACACACACACACACACACACAGACAGCATCACGTTCTCTCTCATATATACACACACACACACACACACAGACAGCACAATGGTCTCTTACTCATTTGCACACACACACACACACATAGACAGCAACAAACAAGCTTAACACAGCATCACGCTGTCTCATTCACACACATACATGCGCGTGCTCGCACGCTCGGGAGTCGGGAGCGATATTGTTAGACCACCCACTCCCGTCCAAAATTATACAAGTTAAAGCTCCTGCGCTTTATTCGGAAATTTCCGGAAATGCAGGACTCTACTATGCTGCATCATATCCGTTGTTCTTTTAGTGTAAGTAAATGTCTTTTTGCAGTATTTGCACAGTTTATGTTTTGTCTGATGCACCTCACCACTGCCATATAAATCTCCTGCTACACCTCACTGCTGATATGTAGGTAACGCGAGTTTGCACCTGTGAACACAGTGCCCTCTTTTGTTCAAAACATGTATCACGATTCATTCAACATTTCTATCGGTTTGAATCGTCACATATTTGAATCAATTTTCATTCGAATCTTTACATCTCTTTTCTTCAGGTGACTGAATGAACATTTAAACATTTCAATGAAGCATTTAATTTCAGTCAGCTTTGAACAATAAATCAAACAAACTAAAGGTTGCATTAGATTTCAGACGGGATGGTGGGCCAAATCAAATGTTACTGTAGAACATCTTTGGTCTGCTGACCCTAGTTTGGGCATCTCTGCCATACATCAATGCTGCTTTTATATAATTTAAAATACAGTAATACTTTGGCATTTAATTGCCATTTAAAATATGGGTGCTTTTGTGCTTTAATGTTTTTTAAGCCTTTACCCAAGTCTTCAATGTCACAATCAATCAGAAAACATTGAAATATCAAAATCAGTTGTGCGGCATATTATTATGGAATCTTTAATAAATATATGAAGTAAAAAAAATCTGTATGTATTTGAAATGGGATGCATCTTAGATGAAAATAAAGTATTATATGAAAAATGAATATACCAGTCTTCTTATAAAAGGTAGTGTAGTTGTGCTTATGGGTGAAAAAAAATAAGCTAAACTTTGGAACTGATGCAATTTTTCCCTTAAGTTTACTTCTGGTCTCTGTTACATCATGACAATGTAATATTACCCAACCTTTTCCTTTTTCTTTCATTTTTTGTTGTTAAAATGTGAAACATGTCATACCACGAGTGACTTTTGATGAAACCATCCACAAGTTTTGAATGCCACGAAAGATTGAAAGATACGTGGGCCATCGAGGTCTGCCTGTCATTATCGCATTGATGATATGCCAAAAGTTTTCCAAGTGTCACCCACGCGATCCCAAAGGCAGACAATTAGCAGCCAAACAAATTCATCCCCTTTGCGCTGACGTGAATCCTCAGCAGATCAGATGACTGATGCTTTAAATGACATCTCAGGCTCCTGGAAGAATCGATATATCGCAAATGAATCTTAAATCATGCAGGCTTACATGAATTTAAATCACTTTTTCTGCTGAAGCGCGACGCTCAAGTGCCAGTTCATGCCTGTAATCAATTTACAGAGACCTTGTGGTACACGCATCAGGCTCACAGATTGGTTTATACACAATGTAATTTATGGATGATTGAGTCAAGTTATCTCTTAAATAAATAAACTTCTTTTTTTTTTTTGGCTAATGTTTTGAAATATCACATCAACAAGTGCCGAGCATTTCCAGCATTATGGATGTGACAGTTGCAGTAAAATCTTAAAACATAAATTCACATAGAAAGTATATGGTAACATTTTATTGAAACATCTGTTAATATTTTCCAAAACAACTAATCACACAGTTATGGGATCAAGCTGTAAGCATTTTTTAATGAGGAAAATAAACCTGTGTTATGGATGTGACCAAAAAAGTATGCAAGTTTACAGTGTACAATTGTGAATTAAATCAGTGAATTGAACGGTACAATCTAAAACATAGATATTTACATTAGTTGTCAGCTACGCTATTCTCGTTTATTGAAAAGAATGCATCATTTTAGTACAGGGTAGCACTCATTTGAAATAATGTGGGGCCAAGGTGCAGTGGAGGACTGGCCATCCAGAGTCCAAAGTATATACACATATGTACACCTATCTATGATCACTTTTACTTCTAGTTCCAACAGAAAGAATCTCCATTATGAACGATTTGTGTGAATTATCCGTATCCCAGTGTCTCAATGTGCATATCCACCTTAGATTTAAACTGTATAATATTTGTAATATTCAATAATTTAGGGGGGCAGTATGCACATTGATGCACAGGCACTGTTATGTTATCAGGAGTCCTTAAGTTACTTCAAAAACTAGCTGTTACTTCATTTGGCAGATAATAATACGAGTTTGTATTTGTGTAAGCGTCTTGTCATTTTATTAACATTGTTTGGTGATTATATTCAACAAAACTAGCATAAGCCTGGAATATAGTGCAAGTTGCTGCTGCTTTGCCTCATGGTCAGTGCAGTAAGTGACTGTATTATCATCAATAGCGTTACTTGATCAGAGTAAAAGTTCGTAACATACAAAAAATAAAAAATCTTATATGAAATGTTATACCTTTGTGCTTTGTTTTCTGTGTTTGCTTGTTACTACAACCATTTGCAGTGCAAAAGTTCAGCAGCCATCTTCAGATTGGCTTTGGTCTTGACTTGTGTGGTTGAATAACATTTTTCCTGGGAGCACTTTACAAATATGGTGGCGGTATTAACGCATGCTGAGGGTCCGTATGTGTTATCTAGTTTATACATCTATGAACCCAAAAGAAACAAAGCTAATCAAAATGATTTTTAATAATAATAATAATAATAATAATAATAATTATAATAATAATAATAATAAAAAGACAATGACAAAATAATTGCATTACAACAAATGCTAGAGCAGTGAATAATAATTCACAAGTAAACAAGTGAATAATAATACACACAGCTGAAACTACTGTCACATAAACACACTACCATAAAGTAAAATAAAATCATACATACAATAGAATTCTTACAAAATTACAGAACAACATTAAAGTGATTCCTTATGCATATCTTTAAACTGTTAATGAGGAAAAAAATTTTGTTGTATGGGATAAATCATTCTATGATTTAATACCCCTAAATCTAATCGAGTATTGCTCTCTACTTGTATGAAACAGAAACTTGAGAACTGACAAGTAAATTAAAAATGAAACTGTAATATATTTTAAAGTACCTTCTGAAATGATCTGGCATGTTACCTTCATGTGAATAAATCTGTACATGAAAACATATTTGTAAAATGTTAATATCATAGATGGAAAGAATATGGAGTTTCTGAAATAAAATAATGGACAGAGTAAATTATTTTGATTGAGTTGCATTCTGTAGTAACATACTGAAGAAAACATTCTGTAGAAACAAGATGCCTAACCCCCCTTAATATACCTGTTGATTGATATATTTTTTTCTTCTGACATAATCTGCTCCTTCAGCTCAAATTCTCATCAAAATAGAATTTTGTAGTGACCACTTGAGGTATTGCTATAGACCCTATGGTAATTTTAGCTAAATCTTTAGGGTATGACTTTTTTACCAAGTTCTGACAAGTTATGTTGCCTATCCAAGTTTTAGAAACAACAAATAATAACTTGTCTTCTAGTTGATACTTTAATATCAGAAGTGGCTTATATGAAAGGCAGAGGCCTCTAGATTACACTTATTTTACCTAAATAAAATATGATCATGTCTTGATTTTTAATTTTTTAATTAGGACAGTAAGGTCTGACTTTGCTTAGACAAACGTCTTGTCACTTTACAGAAATAATGTAGTATATAGAATGTAAAGTCATGGTGCAGTGGAAAAAGAATTAATATTGTGTATGACTCCCATGAGCTTGGAGGACTACATTTGACACTACATCTCAAATAACTTAATAATCAAGTCATCTGGAATGACACAAAAAGCATTCTTGCAGGACTCCCAGAGTTCATCAAGATTCTTTGGTTTCATCTTCAATGCCTCCTCCTTCATCTTACCCCAGGCATGCTCAATAATGTTCATGTCTGGTTACTGGACTGGCCAATCCTGGAGCACTTTGACCTTCTTTGATTTCAGTAACTTTGAAGGACTTTGTGGCGGCTGAAGTATGAGATGGAGTGCTATCCTGCTGAAGAACTTGCCCTCTCCTTTGGTCTGTAATTTAATGAGCAGCACAAATGTCTTGATTCTTCAGGCTGTTGATGTTGCCATCCACTCTGCAGATCTCTTACACGCCCCCCATACTGAATGTAACCCCAAACCATGATTTTTCCTTCACCAAACTTGACTGATTTCTATGAGAATCTTGGGTACATGTGGTTTCCAATAAGTCTTGTAGTATTTGTGATGATTGGGATGCTGTTCTACCTTTTGGCACTTTTTCAAATGATCAACTAGAAGTCAAGTTATTATTTGTTGCTCTTACAAATGGGATCGATGACAAGACTTTTGTCAGGTAGTGTAG